ATCATCATCATGTGCTGTCAAGTTAATTCTGATTTATGGCAACCCTTGAAAATACCATAATTGGAAAGTCTCACCTATTGATATTTTGCCTGTCACACAGCATATTACTTGTGTGCTATCCCTGGTTAATCAACTAGCTACCACCTCTCTCTATGACCTTTTATAGACAAGACAGATTTCCATTTCTGTTTTATACTTACCAATGGTAAGAGGCCCAAAGCGAGTTTGTATGACATCTGGCCTGGTCTCACTCTTCCTTGCTATGGTGAGATGCATTATATTTATACTCAAATGGTAATCATCTGTATCTACAATATGAACTAGCATTTGGAAATTGTGCTACATTTTGCTGATAGGACAAAAGGCTGAATTCACATACAATGAACTGGGCCCAGAAAACCCCAGTGGCACCACTCTCAAAACCGAGACTTTGCATGAGATTTGTATATCACAGAGCCAGCTGATGGGTCTAACAGGGCCGCTGTCAGCAGCCATTCACAGAGAGGATCAAACCATCTCAAACACTGAACATGACTCCACATTCTAATGCATTGGCCTTCCAAAGTCTTGCAGTCAGTTTCTTTACAGGAATCCCAACAAACAAACCCCATTTCCTAGATACCCAGCAGAAATTGGCCAATGGCCCCTTTATCGGTCGCTGTCTGTCTTCTACCTGTTCCTGTCAGAGAAGATCAGAACCAGCAGTTGCATTAAGACTTCATCCCTCTTCCCACCAGTCAATAGAACAATAGGAATCGCTTCAAAGCCTTCCCAAATGAGTCAAAATATTTTTTTGAGAGTTTGTGTTCTCTGCTATCTCTTCATTACCATGTATACTCAGGAAGGGGAAGGAGACTAAGATGAAGAATAGTTTCAGCTGTTCAAGGGAGTTGCTTTAGTTCCAAAGATATTACATCACTTTTGACTCTGGGGAAGGTCAGAAGTACACTGTGGCACAGGCTCAAAGGTCAAGAGAGATCAATCCATCAGAGGGCAAGGGGATAAAACAGGTCTTATACTGTACTTTTCCACATCTCTCAGTTGGCAGAAAGCAGTAAACACTAGCAATTGAGGAATTGTTCATCCTGATGCATGACTATTCAATCAGACAATGTGTTTTAAAGGACACAGTGGCCCTCTCCAGGCATTGCAATCTGAATCCAGATAGTGTTTGAAGTGTGGGTTGACAAGGGGATGTATAAAAACTCCACCCGACAGCCTCTCCTCACCTGGACATCCTTGGGACGTAGCAAGTGCAAAGTTCTGAAACAGAGACTGTTACAGCTCAATGTACTTGCAGTGCTGAGTCATCAGAAGAGGTTCCGATCCCATCAAAACTGTAAGCATGTTGAGCCAAGTGCATATGTGGTCTCTTCTTTGTATGATGAAGTCTTGGAGACTTCAAGGGAAAGGGGGGGGAGGGGACACCGAGGGACTCATACTTGTGCACCCCTGTACCCAAGGCTTTTTTAAGAATCTCCATTGTTTCAGGTCCAATGCCGGTATAGGGCTCTTGTCCAAACTAGGGGTGGGCAGCTTCTGGCTCTCCAGATGAAACTGGACTGCAGAGCCCTTCAGCCCTAGCCAGCTTAGCTAATGGTGAGAGATACTTGGATGCACATTTCAAAAACACACAAAAGGCCACTGACTACCTGGGACTGAATCCCGGGTCATGAGCACAGTATTGGCTGCAGTACTGCAGTTTAACCACCATGCTAGGACTCTCCTTACTACTTGAGATATGGTGTCACTTCCCACAGTCCTTGGATGTGGATGCAACACTTGCCCCTAATGACACAGAACATCTCAAAGCAACCGTATTTAGCATAATCTAGCTTGGCCCAGGCTGGGATATTTGGCCATCTAGCCACACCCATTGTTTCCGAAAAGGGTGAGGCTAATTCCCCTGACCGTCGCAAGGGAAGCATGAAGTCAATTCCCCACTCACCAGCATTTGATAACCAGAGCCCAGAGAGACTATCGTTCTTTACCTGGGAGTTCCTATTAGCTCCTTACCTTTTCTTTCAACACTATACTGTTTGTCCTCATAAGGAGTTTCTGTGTATTCCAGAAGTAGTCTGATTGCATGGCCAAGCTATAGGAAGAAAAGAGAAACAGTTAATGGAAGGGTAAGATGGCTACTATACCATGTTTATCTACTATGTCCGGTTCCAAAGGCACAGCATGTTTCTGAGTATCAGTTGCTGGGGAACTTAAGTGGGAGGGAGGTACTGCTCTAATGCCCTTTTTGTCCGCTTCCCACAGATAACTTATCGGCTTTGGTGGCAGCAAAATACAGGATTAGGCAAAACTTTGGTTTTGCGGGGCTCCTGCATTCTTGAGAACAGTCACCAGCCAACAGTAGTGACAAATTACATCTACTGTACAGCAAACAAGACTAGCAAATACCATCGGTGGCTATCACTCAGTATTTTAGTATCATATTAGTTTTGTGGACTCCAGCCCAGTATCAGATGAAAGAGGCTGTACCTGACAATAGCTTACACCATGATAAAAAATTCCTCAGGCTTGACGGTGTTGCAAGACTCCTTGTTGTGTCTAAACCAGGAGGCAACTGCTTGTAACCTCTTCCTACATGGCTTTAAGCAGATGATTTACTATATTTTTCTGTGTATAAAATGATACTTTTACCTAAAATTTTTAAATAAAAATTGAGGATCGTCTTATGCACGGAAGTAAGGAGAAAGTACTTTGCAAAGAAAGTGGAGGGGGAAAGCAGGAATCAAATCACTTTGATGATTCCTGCTTTCCCTCTCCTTACTTCCATGTATAAGACGACCCTCAATTTTTAATCTAAAGATTTCTTGCGAAGAAAGAGGAAGACGAAAACACTTTCTTCGCAAGGAAGTGGAGGGGGAAAGCAGGAATCATCAAAGTGCTTGATCTCTACTTTTCCCCTCTACTTGCTAAGCCCTGCTTAGATCTCTTAATTTTGTGTTAGAAAAGGGGGGTCTTATACATGGAAAAATATAGTACTCAGCTACATCCTCCTCCTGACAACCTCTCAGGGTAGTAGTTAAGCTGCTCTACCTTACAACAGGCTTGCTACCTTAGCAAGAATTATTGTGAAATAGAGAATTAGCAAATCCAGGATGATGTACACTAGAGATGAGGGTATTCGTACATGAATACAGTACAAATATACCTACACAGGTGGAAATAATGAGGGGCCATCCCATTGTCCACTCACAATTTCAACGCTGCCACCGGCTTGACAGAGGCTTCCTATCATGCTGTTCTCAGCAATGGATTAGCTACTCTCCGACCTAGCAAAGAAGCTTGTCATCACGCCTCCTGCCAGGACTGGGTAAATGACTTTGGACAATGGCGCAACAGGAAGGTCCAACAAGCTCACACCAGTGGCAAAATCGTGAGTGGACAATCTGGCACCATAGGGCCGGACCGTCGTTATTTCCACCTGTGTGTGGATATTGGTATTCGAATACGAATACCCCCATCTCTATTGTACACCCTGAGCCAGGAAACTAAGGGTGTAACTACTCAGCAAAGAAAATGCAATTTTATCCATGTGGGTTTTCCCAGATGAATCACTATAGTCATCCAGTTGACAATTTGCAGGAGTTAGCAGGGCCAACGGCTTGGTTTGCACAGAGCTCCAAAAGCAGAAATTGCTTTAAGGTGCTATCAAGGTGCTAACTGACAATTTCAACTTCTCTCCTTCTGCTTCTTTAATCCTCCTAAGTATAGTACCCTAGCAGAACTATCCCAGCACTGATCAGAAATCTCTCATTTTCTTTTAAAGACATCGTGTGGAGGCCAGGGGCACTTGGTTGAGGGCAACGGACACCTCCACCAGAGCTCTGTTGCCTTTGGATTAGGTTAGAGGTTCCCAAACTTGGGTGGGACGCCTTCCTCCCGGACTGAGGCTCGCCGTCACGCCGAGAAAAACACATCTATTGCAAAGTGGAACTCCCGTCCCCTTCCTCGCCATCCGCCGCCGCGGCATGGTCGTAAAGCTCTACCTGTTGCACGTCTGCCTCGGAGGCTGGCAGCCTGTCCGAGGCGGGCACGCATCCTCTGCCCCTCCAAGGAGCCTTCGCTGTTCTTGCAAGACACGGAGCGCCACTGGTCGAGAACCAGCCCACTCTGGCCGCCCCCGAGACACACACGCGCGCCCCGCGGACTTACCCCACGGATATCCCAGTAGCCGAGGATGATTCCCATCTTCCTAGCGCTGCGACCTCCGACGTCCCGGGCTGCTCTCGAGCGACTCCGGCAGAATCTGATCTTGGCTTGGGATCCGAGCTGTCGGAGCTCGCCCGCCCGGCCGCCCAATCAGGTCCGGCGCCAGCTCAGAGATCCGGGGGTGGGCTCCGCCCCCCAAATTGCCCTCGGGCTCCTGGGCTGGGCGCCCGGGCCGACCTTCCCCGCCCACCTCCCTCGCGCGCCGCTCGTGTCCGGGACGCCCGGGTTCTCGGTTTACGATTGACGGGCTCGGTTAACGATTTGCTGCCTAGCCCGCCCCTCCCTCGCCCGGAACCTGTTACAAGGGAAGCCTTTCACAGATTGCCCAAGCGACGGTGTCCAAATCCAGACCCCTTCAGTCAACGCCGGGAGCGTAGGAGATTTGTTTGAGCTCTTTTAGCTACGAATCGGACCCATTTCGTAGCATCCCCCCCAAAACTCTAAATGGTTTCTTCGCAAGGAAGACTTTAGATGAGGCGAAGGATTTTGTAGTCTTTCACTCTATACAGCATTTCCTAAATCGGGGATGGCAGCGGTGGAGTGGCGACAAAATTAGCTGGGAGGGATATCGCAGCTGCTGGTAATGCATGTTAATATATTTTTTTCTGGATCTTTCGATATTTTTAATATTTTCAGATTGTGAATAAGTGACTCAGTGGATACTGATGCTATGGATAAGAGGGTCCTACTTTATTTCAGTATTTTTGCAGTAGCAACGTTATTGGAATCAGTTTAAAGTCACATGGAAGTCACATGGTATTTGAATTGCTGTGTGCAATCTCTTAGGGGACCTTTTAATCGGATAAAAATCTGGTAAAAGTAGTGTACCGATATCAAAGACTACATTCACAGTTTAACTTAATACTGTGAGATACTGGATCCATGAAAAGACCTGTCATCCAATATGGTTACAGTTAAGTGTACCGATATCAAAGACTACATTCACAATTTAACTTAATACTGTGAGATATTGGATCCATGAAAAGGCCTGTCATCCAATATGGTTACAGTTACCCTGTTAAACATGCCAATGTGCTCCTTGCCATTACCTGCACCAGAGGGTTCAGAGATAACAGACAGTCCCAGAGTACTCTGAAACTATAAACTTTCTTTTAGGAGGAGCATACTATATCTAAAAAAGGTTGAATTCCAACCATTAAACTAGATCTTCTGTTCAAAAGCACATCCATCCACCTTATCACAATTTAATCTTCTTAAGGGCCTTAAGAAGCAATTGGGAGCCTCTGCCGGGCAGCAGTAATGATTCATTTTAATATTTAAAGGCGCACCGCCCTATTTTTCTTTCTTCTGAAAGGGGGGCGGGGCAGGGAGCAAAGTTTGGAAAGCTGCCCTTGAATGTGGAATGGTGGAATTAAAATGGCCCACCCACCGTGCGGCCCTGATCCCCCAAGAGGGCCGAGAGAAAAGCGTTTTACTCAAGATGGACAAGCTGTTCTGGGGAAAGTGAAACATTAACGTGGCCCCTTTGATGTTGGAATGTGTACAACTGCACAATCAAATTGGGCAGTGCAAGGAGCTTGGGCGAGAGGCTCTTTGGACTTTGCTTAAACTGTGAAGAGGCGGAGACTCTGAGCTCTCGTTTTGAACAGCCGTGCGTTAATCATTACTGAACACAGATAAGGGTATTTGGGGCGCCAGTTCAGTCAGCCCCTTAGGATTCCTTAGGATTCCTCAGTTTCTTTGGAGAGCATTTATTTGTTAATTATAGACTTCCAGCACACATGCTCACAAACTTCTATTATTTCATCTCTTATAATTCTTGAGCATGCTAGGTACATGCCAGGAAGAATAATGGATTCTTAAACATTCTGTTGCCCTTCCTTTTGTTAGTACACCATCAAGTGAATAAAAAGAGTGAACAAATTATTGGCTGCAGGTGTTTTATTCCTCAAAGCAGGGGTCCCCAACCCCCTGGTCTGAGGCCCAGTGCCAGTCCATGGGCTTCCCAGAACTGGACTGCGGAGATGGATCTCCGACCCCCCTGTGCAGGGGGAGTGTCACACTCATACAGGGAGCATGTTGTGCTCACACAGTGGTGTGTCAAGCTCCCGTAACACACCCTCTGTGAGCGAGGGGGTGCCACTGCCCCCCCGCACACAGAGCCCACCCACCCCCAACCAGTCCCAAAAAGGTTGGGGATCGCTGCCTCAAAGGACCAAGCACAGTTTGAAAAAGACCCTGAGGTGTATTCAAAAAAAAAAAAACAAACAAACAAACAAAAAAAACCAGCTGAACAGCCAGATTTAGTTATGGCAATGGGGAGGGTTTATATATATAGCTACCCTTTGGAAACTGGCCACAGAGGAACATGGACTTCATCTAGAATATTGTCCAAAAGAGCCAAGTGTTGCTGTATGGCTGAAGCAATTAGGACCTTGTTACAATGCTATTAGAAGTACAGGAGGATTTCCCCTATCTACGGGATCATAATCCACAGTTTCATTTATCCACTGCCTGAAAATATTAAATAAAAAACCCTGGGAATAAGTGTTTTGAATATGTACTACCAGAAAAGCCACTAGAGGGAACGAGAAACCATGCTATATAGTGAGTTTGCTATTATCCACAGTTTCCAGCATCCACATGGACACTGTAGTCCTACTGTAATTTCTGAAGGGAAAACATGGAGAAACTTCAAAACAATCCTATTAGATTTCAATAAAGGATCCCCACCCCTAAAATAAAGAAACTGGTAAACGGACAGTTGAAAAACCAAGACAGAAAGGTGGTTTTCTTCATGATGCTTAGATCTACTCAAAACCATGTTAACAGAGGCTCAGCTAAATTGCTGAAGGGCATTCAGAAAGGAAGTTCAGGAAGTAATGACCATGGCTAAAGAGCCATACAAGGGAAGCTATGGGAGTGGGGTGAGGTTCTGACTTAAAGAATGTAGTATGATTACGTGAAATGATGTTGGTGGTGAAAGAGATGGTTCTTCCCATCAGAATTTACTTTTTGAAGCCAGATATCACTCAGAACCATTTCTATTCTCATTGGAAGGTAGCTGTTGTCCTTTGGTTTAGCAGTATTGGACTCCTGTCGCAAAGGATATGTGTTGCGGAAGAGAGAATAGATCCTAATGACAATTTGAGAACATAGGCTGAGAAATCAAGAAGCCGAGACCATTTTTCAATATTCTCTCACAATTTATTTGGGCATTCAAACCGCTGTATTGTAAAATTCAGTTTGGGCTGTCAGAGCCATGGCATGGTAAACATGTAAATAATTCAAAGTCACTCATTGGTACTTTTCATTGTCAGCCCTGCAAGATTCCTGGTCTCCTCTACTCTTTCTTGTTGCTCCACTTCGCAACCCTCCAGAAGACGGGGCTTTTCATGAAACGACTGGATTTCATGTAGGCAGAAATCTTCTCCAAGGCCTAGAGAGACAGGCAACAACAATATGGGTCTTTATTAGCAACCAATGTCATTTTACATTGTGAATTTTAAGAGTACATAGGTATGTGTGCTAGCTATGCTTCAGGGTCTGAAATTCAATTGCTTGCTTCCCTAGCTATGCTTCAGGGTCTGAAATTCAATACTGTAGCTTGCTTCCCCAGGCAGAGCCAGGAAGGAATCCTGCCTGGAACCGTGTAAAAACTACTGCCAGTCAGGTTCATGAACATTACGGTTAGACAGACCAATCAGCTGCCTCCTGTATTCATAACTGTCCACAGAGAGACCAGCATGAACACCATAGTAGCCCAATAATACTCTTATGATCTAGTGAACCAGAGTTTAGGTTTTAGGCAATTCCTACTAGTCCCTTCTATAGACCTTGGAAGGTTATTTTTAAGCAGGGAGTTTGTAACAGTTTTGAGACCTGCGCCACTCAAAGTTGTTAGTTACTGTTGCATTTTTGAACATTTATTCTCCATTATTTCAGAGTAATTTAAAGGGTTACGTTTTATTAGTAGCTAGGAAGCATCAGAATACCACAAGCTACTGGACCACAGTAGAAATACACCTAGGAAGTTAAAAGAAACCACTCTTATAACCATAAAAGGCAACTTCAAAAAATTGCTCTGTAAAAGATGTAATGTCATCTCTATATATCTTACAGTCATAATGCAACTTACTTATGGTTTAACTATTGGAAAAGAAATTAATTAAAAATAACTCATTATTTATAACATTATGCTTCCAAGCAACATTCAGAACAGAAGAGAAGTGGGGCTATTCCATTAGCATTGCTCTGAAACCAGTTGGTACTGGCTCTTCCTCCATCTTGGCTGATCATTATAAGTTCTAGTACAAAACGTATGAAGAACGTGGTGGCGCTGTGGGTTAAACTGCAGAAGCCTCTGTGCTGCAAGGCTAGAAGACCTGCAGTTGTAAGAACACACAACCGAGTGAACCCCCATCGCTTGTCCCAGCTCCCGCCAACCTAGTGGTTGGAAAGCATGCAAAATGTGAGTAGATAAATAGGTACCACCATGGTGGGAAGGTAACGGCGTTCCGTGTCTAGTCATCTTCGGATAAACGCTAGGTCTATGGGTTGGAAACGGAGATGAGCACCGTCCCCTAGACTGGACAAATTGTCAAGGGGAACCTTTACCTTTACTTTACAAAACATGAAGAACTGCCTAACTCTGTCATACATTTTAAAAAACCAAGTTAGACACATATGGAGAAAGGGAATCAGGTGACATGGTGGAAGGTTTTTTGAAAGCTTAGTTGAAGTGAGGATTGCATTCTTTTCCCCAATGGTATCAGAACAATGCCTCCAATGCTCCAATCTGGAGCTCATCAGAAATTTCACCTCAAAGCGGTCAAAGAAATCCTGTAGGTTTTTGTACTGATTGAAGCATTTCGGCTCAAACATCCGCTGCTGATCCAGGACGTCATAGGCAAGGAAATCCACATAGGTGATCTAGGAAATTAAACATGGAAATGCATTTTAATCATAAACCTGAGATGAAGATAAGGTTCCATCTGACTCAACTTACATACCTTATTTCCTGCAAACCATTTCCTGTCCCCCAGAAACTGGGAAAAGAGCTTCAGCTTCCCAGGAAGTTCTTCCAAGTATTCAGGCTTCAGTTTTTCCTGCAAGTAGATTGGGGAATGTGATATACTGGCTCATTTCCAGCTAACCTCTTGGGAAACCTCAAACTTACTGGTGCTGCCCATTCCTAAGCCACCTTT